AATAGACTAGCATGTATCCACTGAACCTGCCTGCTGGACCAGAAAGTCTAGGCAGATAGTGCCTTGTTTGAAATGAGTATAGTCATAAAAACTCATGCACGGACTCTGTGGCCGATATTGCAGAATCAGAGGGAGGCAGAAAGGAGCAGCACCAAGTAGAAATATAGGAAGAGTTTTCTTTCGGTTTTCTTTTGGTTTTCTTTTGGTTCTCTATATCTGCTACAAGTTCCAAAGAGAATATTGGCAAATGTTTTGGTTTTTTAAAAATTTTTATTTATTTATTTAGTTTAAGAGAGAAAGAAGGGAGAGGGACGGATTGAAGGAGAGAGAGTATCCCAAGCAGGCTTTGCACTGTCAGTGCAGAGCCCAATGTAGGCGGGCCTCAAATCCACGAACCGCAAGATCATGATCCGAGCCAAAATCAAGAGTTGCACGCTTAACCATCTGAGCCACCCAGGTACCCCTGCAAATATTTGACATCCTAAACAGAGCCCAAGACATTATTAGCCCTTGAAAAAAGTGAAATAGTGTTTCTGAAAGAACGGTGTGTGGACAGTCTGGGACAGAATTTTTTTTTGTGTGATTAAAGTGGTGAGGCCGACTTCAGAGTTAGTGAAGAGGAATTTTAAGAGTGAAACAAGGAAATTGGTTTTTAACAAGATCCTGCATGATTTTTATACTAAATTCAAGTAACCAGAGTAACACAATGAGAAGGAAAAAAAGTAACAAATTAAAATCAATATAAGGCAAATTGATGATGGTTACACAAAACGTCTCTATAGTCTTTAAAATTGTTACAGAATATAGAGAAATCTGGAGAGTTTTTCAATTTGTGTTTGAAGTTATCAGAATAATCTAAAGATGATAGTACATCAATCTTAGTTATGACTATAGAAGAAAAACTCCTTAAAGTATAAGAAAATGAATCCACCAGTAAATTACCTGAATAATTAATGATTACCAAAATTATTCCAGACTTGAAAAATAATTGCATAATAGGAAAACTGTTGAAATAATTCACCAAATCAATGTCAAAAAAAAAAAAAAAAATCCCAGCAAGGTACTATCAGTTTGATAGAGTCAAGTTAGTTTTTGATAACAATCAATATCCCTCTACTCCTGATATAATTTTTAGTAAAATAGGAATATTTATTGAAATTCCAGGGTCAACAATATAATAATTGCTAAAGCACAAGAGGCCTTTTAAGAACACAAACTGCAGTTGGTATTTTTTCTTCAATAAATGCTAGTCAGTATAATAACAGCTAAATGTAAACAGAAATATTGGAAATTTTTAGATGGCATGATTGTCCGCCCAGAGAACCCAAGCAATAAACCTGAAAAATAATATTACTACATATAAAGGAATTCAACATGGTAACCATTTACAATACCAAAACCAAAAGTTAAAGGTTGGAACAAAACCGTTTAAAAATAGCAACCAAAATTATAAAATACTCAGAAATAAATGTCACAAAGAAATATAGGATCTATGCAAATAAAACAATAAAATGTTGTTGACCACTATAAAGCTAATATTATTAAACAATGAAAATGTGTCGATGGGAGAAGATACCACTTAGTAATTGCTTTTCTACTTTATTTTTATTAAGTACAATCATAATTCCACTATTATATTGGGGTAAATGTGACTAAAACCATGAGGTTCTGGGGAAGTCCAGAAGGAGTGCACTAAGTTGACCTATTTGTATAGAGGTAAATTTGGAGAGATGGGAGGAGAGGGTTTAGAAGGAAGGAAGGAAAGGAGGAAGGGAAGGAGGAAGGGGAGAAGGAAAAAAGGAAAAGCATATTTAAATCTGGAAAGGGAAATACAAAGAGGTTATATAAAATAAATTAAAATCATGAAAAAAATTAGGAAGGATAAACACTAAACTCTGTTAGAGAACTAGATTAATTAAGAGTTTTACTTCATATAATATTATAATGAGAAAGGAATCTGGAAGTCATTTAATGAGAGAATTTGTCTCATGCAAAATTGTCTTTATCTCAGGAAAAAAAGTCACTGCATTACAAGCTGTTCCAATCTTTGGCACAATTATATACATTGGAGGGCTCTCCACTTCACAATGATGGTCATTTCATAATTGGGTAATCTCATTCCTAATTCTACTATTTCTCTATGATTAATTATATACAATAGAGGATCATGTATTGAGTCATGTCATGTTAATAGTGGTAACCACTTTAATATTTAAAGACAACCTTTGAGGCGCCTGGGTGGTTCAGTTGATAGAGCATCTGACTTCAGCTCAGGTCATGATCTCAGGGCTTGGGCGTTTTAGCCCTGTGTGGGGATCAGTGCTGATTGTTCAGAGCCTAGAGCCTGCTTTGGATTCTGGTCTCTCTCTCTCTCTGCCCCTCCCCCGCTCGCACTCTGTCTCTCTCTCAAAAGTAAATAAACATTTAAAAAAATTTTTTAAAAATAAAGATAACCCTTATATTACTGCTAACTGTTCATATTTAGGCTAAACATTTCCAGTTCCTTAAACTTTTCCTCATATGAGACACTTCCCAGAATCTCATTATTTTGCATCAGGCTTTAAATGATCTCCTTTTAGTTAAACCTTTGTTATATACCCAGTACTGAAGTTCAGATATTATCAGAAGAATGGACTCCTATTCTTATAAACTTGTTAACTCTAGAGCAAATCTGCACGGTCTTTGCTGAATTATTGTGTAATAGCCGTACGTCCTTTCAAATTTCCTTTTCTATCTATATCAAATTTGAAATAATTTAGCTTGATATCAGTGTTACAATTACTTTATTTAAAATGAACTGCCTTTTCAATCAGAAAAATGAGGGAAAAGACTCAGTGATGGATTCTAAGATACTACTGGAGTTCTGTGTCTCTATGTGTGTGCATGCACTTATGTGGCGTGTGTATGTAAGTTTGTGTATGTGTGTATGGGAGTGTGTACATGCACATAGACATGCATATGTAAGTGTTCTGCTAGAGGATATTGCAATTATTTTATTGAAGTATAGTTGACATACAACATTATACTAGTTTCAGATGTAAACATAATGATTGGACATTTGTATACAGTGATCACCACAATGAATCTAGTTATCATCTATCTCCAGAGTTAGAAAACATTTCTTGTGATGAGAATTTCTAAGATTTACTCTTTTTCTGATGTGTATGTATTTATTTTGAGAGAGAGCAAGAGCACAAGTCGGGGAGGGGAAGAGAGAGAGGGAGAGACAGAATGCCAAACAGGCTCTATGCTGTCAGCTCAGAGCCTGATGCGGGGCTTGATCTCTTGAACCTTGTGATCATGAGCTAAGCCGAAATCCAGTCTGCTGCTTAGCCCACTGAGCCACCCAGGCACCCCTAAGATTAACTTTCTTACCAACTTTCAAATTTGCAGTACATTAATATTGACCATAGTCACCCTGCTGTCCACTATATCCCCATTAAATTCCACTTAAATTTGTAATCTAAAAAATGCAACAAATGAACAAACAAAATGGAACAAAATTCAGAGATACAGAGAACAGAATGGTGGTTGCCAGAGAGGATGGCAGTTGGGAGGTGCAAAATAGGTGAAGGGAATTAAGAGTTACAAAATACCAGTTACATGGGGCACCTGGGTGGCTCAGTCGGTTAAGTGTCCAACTTCAGCTCAGGTCATGATCTCACGGTTCATGAGTTCAAGCCCCACGTCGGACTCTGTGCTGACAGCTCAGAGCCTGGAGCCTGCTCCGGATTCTGCATCTCCCTCTCTCTCTGTTCCTCCCCTGCTCATGCTCTGTCTTTCTCTCTCAAAAATAAACAAACATTAAACAAATTTCAAATTCCCAGTTACAAAAGATCAAAATTTTGTGATGTTAGGAAAAATGAAATTAAGTGTAATGTTTGTGTAAACATTAAAGTGCGTTTGTAGCTGTTTTGGAATCATAACTTAAAATAAATAAATGTATTTGAGACCATTAAGAAAATTGCAAATGATGATCATTAACAAATCATCATGAACATGATATTTATTTTCACTCAATATTTAAAAAATATTAGTTATGTCTTAAAATTTTTTTTAATGTTTATTTTTGAGAGAGAGACAGAGAGAGAGAGACAGACAGAGCCCAAGCAGGGGAGGGACAGAGAGAGAGGGAGACACAAAATCGGAAGTAGGTTCCAGGATCTGAGCCCTCAGCACAGATCCTGATGTCAGGCTTGAACTCACAGACTGTGAGATCATGACCTGAGCCATGGGCGCTTAACAGGCTGAGCCACCCAGACACTCCTAAAATATTGTGTCTTATCACATGAGAGAAGTTTGCTGGAATTTAGGGAGAAAGCAAATGTATTTATTAGCATGCTACTATTTTTTTAGACTGTTGATAATATTTTATTATACATCACATATATAATATTCAGTTCCTTCATTGTTTTGTCTGGTTTATAACATATCTATGTTGACTTTAACATTCTACTTGTCATTACTACCCTTTGTTGATCATGTGTATATTAATATGAGCCTAAGTAAATAAATAAAATGGTAAAACGTCCCATAACGTGCTGTTTCATATAGGCTCAAGTTGAAGGGAAGGACTTGTTAAAAACAGATTTTCCGGCCCAGGCCCTTAAGATTCTGATGCAGTGCTTTGGGTGCTGGGGGTCAAACTGGATCAGTTTGCATTGACGCTGTTCAAACATCTAATTGATTTTAATAACGGGAAAAACTTGGGAAAACGTTGATTCAAAATTATTCCAAAGACACATATTACTGCTGTTTTGAATCATCCATACCACTCATTACATCCACTAATACTGATAATAGAATTAAATATGTAAGATATTTGAACTTACTATGTTCAGAATTGGAAAGTAACGGGTTCTTTACAAAAAATTGAGCATTTTACTCAATTTTCATTTTCTGTAGTAAGGATTTGTTCAAAGTATATTATAATGAATTAAATAAAATAATTTTATTCTTTATGTATTATTTTTAATTATATTGTTATCTTCTGCTTGCAGGGTACAAGTTGAATTCTATATGAATGAAAACACATTTAAAGAGAGACTAAAGTTATTTTTTATCAAAAACCAGAGGTCAAGTAAGTCATTCATTTTATTCTCCCATCAACATGTTTATACATATGTTTAACTAAAAAAAATCAGCTGTGCGATCCTTTAGCAAAATATGTTTTATGTAGAATAAATATGATAATCTTGTCTGCCAGGCAGTAAAAGTTCAGAAAGCTATTGATGTTACATGTGGTGGTGTTAGGGTGTTTGAATACCTGCAGTTCCCCAAATCCCATACCAGTAGGTAGACTTGTGAGAGGGCCATTTGGATTAGTGAGGAAAATAATTTAAATGAGGGGTCCCCTTATTTTAACTGTGAGGCACATGTAAAACTTGGTTTGAGAAGGCTCTAACCAAATGGGAACAACTGTCTGATTTACTGGGGAAGAGTTTAATGTTTCCCATTCATGCCTGATAATAAGAAACATCTAGGGTTTTCTGAAATGTATAGATTACGAACATCCTTCTCTGGAGATTTTGAATCAGGAAGTGTAGGGCTCAGCACACAGTTTCATACTCCACTGATTCTTCTCATCAGATAAGTTTGGGAAACATTGCAACTTGAGGAAGACATGAAATTGGCATAGTTAATGAGCTAAGACCATTCAAGGCTGATGGGTCAGTGACACCTGTTGCCTCCCTGTAATACCACATATTTTTAAAAAGCAAAAAATAATGAGTCAGTATGCAATTTTTCATATGATTATTGCTTAAAATGTCAACAAATAGTGGAAAGGTCTACTATTGGAAAGTGGTGTAGACTTTGTTCTTTCTGAATTTTGATCTTGGAATCTTCTTTGGGTGGTCTCGATTAAGTTGTGCCCTTATAGGGTTCAAAGAGAAAAGCCTGAGTTGTTGGAAGTTATCAAAATACTGACTCTAAGAAATATTTCAGACTGTAAGGCACACTGCTTAGAGATTCTTAATGGCAAGTTAGCTGCAAAGGTAAGGCTAAGAATAGCTACTGCCTCTCTAACCTGGTTGTTTAGAATTTCCAAGGAAGTCCTACCAATAGATGTATTCATATCATTTGAATAGAAGGTCTTCTTGATCTTAATGCTAATAATTCTATCTCTCCAGGCCAGAAAATATAGATGCGTTATTTGAATACTTTACCAGCAGCCAACTTTGATTAAGCAGTCTTTTGAGAAGACCAGTTCTATAAAACCAGGGCAATTTCATTAACAGTTTAAAAGACTTTATAAAGAAGTTAACCCGTAAAAAGTGTACCTGCCATTTTAATAAGGAAGCCTAGGAAAATTACAAAATTAATAGGCATTAATCTTTTACTGTTAAGAAATGTTACCTCAAGTACACTTACATATAGCAGAGAAAAAAAATGACATTTCACTTGCAGATATTATTAAATAATAATTATAAGAAGACCTTTCTCAAAATTTTATTCATAATGCATGAATCAGATACCACCTGATAATTGCAGGAACGGTAATGTTTCTATTAATCAGACTTTAAGCATATTTTGCTTAATGTTAATTGTTCTTCTTCATCACTAAGTATTATAAGCCTCATAACTGTGACTTACACAGTTTCACAGATACATACATGACAGTCTTAATACCCCCCAAATATCTAAGATTGCATTAGTACTTAACCTAAAGGAAAAAGTAAGTTTCAACTGGTAGAACTAAAATGTGTGTGAATGTATATGTATTTTCCAGCAAATGCTATTATGATTCTTCTATAATTATGTAATTACTGAGTGTATAATATATAATTATATACATGATTATAATTTCTTTACAATCAAATCTACAAGGTGTTCTGAAAGTAAAGGATGTATAACTTATCTGGTGGATTTGTAAGCAGCTAGATATTCTAGCTAGCTAAAATTTATTACAAAATTCATGGATATAAAAAATACTTACACTTCTAAGCATATCTGAACCAATCATGATTTTTGTGGCTTCTCAGTGCTCAAACCAAGATTTATTCTTGGGTGTAATATTTGCGGCCATTTGCAGTGCATGCAGTCTGTCAATCTCACATTTTTTTCCTAATATTTAGCCAATTAAAATTCAGATGTCTAAAATTTAAAGAGTTTTTAAATACAATAAGTGCTATATTTAAAGTTGTTATTTGTGGCAATTTTTTTAGACTTTTGTGAACTAAGTTAACATGAAAATTAAATTTTTGTTGTTTGTTTAAAGGTCTAAGAATTCGTCTATTCAATTTTTCTCTCAAATTATTAAGCTGTTTATTATACATAATCCGAGTGCTACTAGAAAACCCTTCACAAGGAAATGAATGGTAAGATGTCTTTGAACTTCAACAACAGTCTTTCGATTATTTTGAATTGTATTATAATTTTGAAGGGTGTTCTATGGAATTCATTTTCTTAAGGATGTTTTAGGTATTTGTCACAATTAAATTGATCTGGCTTTCAGTTAATACATGAATATAATCGTTGTAGGTTCTTTTTTAAACATTTCTTCTTCCGGTGCCTGACTGGCTCAGTCAGAAGAGTGTGCTCATCTTGGCGTCATGAGTTTGAGCCCCCTGTTGGGTGTAGTGATTACTTAAATAAATAAATAAGCTCAAAAAAGAAAAGAAAAAAAAAACATTCTTTAAAGAAAAGTAAACATCACTTCTTTTATTATCTGTTTATCAAAGCTAATACTGGATACCCACCCATATAATTTCTATTGCTAACCAAAGTACTCTTAAGTAATTGCTTAATATAGAGTTAGTCTCTTTAAAGACCCATATACCTCTCTCTTCTTGATTTACATATACTCCAAAAAGGTATACTCTTTTGTATGCCAGCTATGTAAGTATTTTCAGTTCTACCAGGTGTTACCTTTTCTTTTTAAAGATTCCTTGAGGGCATTATGTTAAGTGAAATAAATTAGAAAACTGGAAATACTGTATGATTTCATTTATCAGTGGAATCGAAAAACAAACAAACCGAAAAACCCAAAAAACCCGAAACAACAACAACAAAAATCTAGTGACTTTTGAAGCACTCCAGCATATACTGGGATGCATGACTAAGTCTCAGATTTAGCTTGTGTAGCTCTTTATCTTATTTGAGTTAAATGACTTATTGACTTATTTTAACTTATTTTTCCATTCATTATTATGTTGCTTTTATTAAATTGCATTTCTGTTCATTTATAGACTTCCCTTTTTAGGCTCTATCCTTCACTAGAAGTAGTAGGGAAAGGAACTGTCTGTGTAATAGCATGAATAATTTTTAACTCATCACCATCATGGTCTCCTGTCCAACCTACTAAATTTAAATAGTTTTCAAAGCAGAAAACAAATTTGGTGGCTAACTTTTGTACAATTGTTTTTCATGTGGAGGTTCACCCTAATAAAATTGAGAAATACAAAAGATCAAAATAAAATGGGAAGTGATGATATATTATGCATTTAAATGAATCGGTTACTCCTCAGCTTGTGTAGACAGTGAAAATTATTCTGTATTTATTAAAGGATTAAAGATGAACAACTGAAATTTTCCTATGTAACAATTTATGTGATAATTCTTTGTACAATTTTAATTTATTTAATGAAATATAATTATGGCTATTCCACTACATCTTTATTGAATACTTGGCATGTGTTTATATTTCTGTGACTCAAGATACAACATTCTCTACCCTCAGGGACTTTTCAGCCTGTGAATGGTTGTATATTTTGGAATTCTTGCTCTTTTCTGGCATTGGTCTAATTGTTTTATTTATGTTATTACCTTCAATATGCACTTAATCTTATTATTCCCACCTGACATACAGAGAAGCAGAAATTTTCTTATATTTGCCCTTCGCTTTGTGGCCTTCAGCACTAATATTTTTCTGCCTTTATCCATGGTTAAGTCATTGACCCCAGAAGCCAGCACCTTCCTGGTCCCTGCCCTGGTCGCCCACCCCTACTCTCCCCCCCCTTTTGAACTGCATATTCATTCTCTCTACTTGGATGTTTAATTGGCATTTCGAAGTTGCCGTGTTCCAATTGGCTTCTTCTGTGCTTTTCCACATCTCAACATGTGACAGTTCCATCCTTCCCCTAGCCCTGCCCCACTCTCAGCCTTCCACATTTCAGCAGAACCAAATTCCAACCTAACAGTTGCTCAGGCCAAATGCTTTAGAGTTATTCTTAACTTCTCTTTTGGTCTCACACTCTGCAGCATATGCAAACCCCTTAGAAAATTCTGTCATTTCTATTTTCAAGATATATCCAGCATAGAATCACTTCTCAAGGCTGCCATCCTGGCACAGGCCACCTTCTGTCACCTGAGTACTGCAGTAGCCCTCCTAATTAGTTCTGCTAATTGTGCCTTTGCTCCTCTTTGGTTTATTCTTAATATAGCAGCCAGTGTTTCTTTAAGTTCTAAGTCAGACCTTGACATGGCTGTGCTCTGAATGCTGAGGTGCTTCCCATGGCTTCCCTGTAACTTCACCTCCTCCTCCTCCTCCTCCACCCATTTTGTTCCAGTCACATTGGCCTCTTCTCTGTTTCTGGATCATACCAGCCACAGAGCTGGCTTAGGCCTTCATACCTGCTGTTCCCTCTGTCTGGAATTCTCTTCCATCAGATAACATAAGGCATACTTCCTCAGATCTTTACTCAAAATTGTATTTTCAGTGAAGCTTTACCTAAATATCCTGTTTAAAATTGTATTCTCCTCACAAGCCTCCCTCAAATACTTTTTTTCTTTTCCCTTTTAACTTTTCTCTACTGCCTTTATCTCTTTCATATGTTATAAGTAGTATACTTGTTTTGTTTCCTGTGTATTCCACATGGATTGCTGTGGCTCTTCCATGAGGGCATCGATTATTGTCTGAATCCTCAGAAAAAATTTGACTCTCAGTAGTTATTTATTTGTTTTTAAAAATTTATTTATTTACCTTTGAGAGAGAGAGGCCTAGCGAGCATGTGTGAGCAGGGGAGGGGCAGAGAGAGAGAGGGAGAGAATCCCAAGCAGGCTCCACACTATCAGTGCAGAGCTAGACGGGGAGGGGGTGGGGGCTGAAACTCATGAACCATGAGAGTTGAAATCAAGAGTCAGATGTTTGACCAACTGAGCCCCCCAGGCAACCAGTAGTTAGTTATTAAATGAATGAGTGAATAACTGAATAAATGAAGGTCCTTTATAATCTGACCTTTGTTTACCTCACCTCACCTCCTATCCAGCCAAGCTCACCTACCTCAAGCCACTTATACATACTCTGTTCTCCTTTGTCTCTGAGCCTTTGCATATTCTGCTTTGTCTTCTTGGACTTCTGTTTCCCATTCCTAGCTTCCCTACCTGATGAGGTTTTGGGGTGATAGTGGGGTTCAGGGTGTCCGGAGCCAACAGCCAAGAAAGAATTCTTGAAGATGTCTTTGGTGCGAAAAGGTGATTTTATTAAAGCAGGGACGGGACCTGTGGGCAGAAAGAACTGCCCCGGGACCATGAGGAGAGACTGGTTGTATACTCTGGAGTTGGGGGAGGTAAAGTCCAGGGGAAGTTTCCAATGAGATTTTCATATGCTAAAAAAGACCCACAGGATACTGGAGGCCTAGCTATGGTCTAGCTAAGGTTTTTCCCTCTAGCAAAGCATTAGCATTAAAATGGTAGGGAGTTCCTGGAGAAACTTTGCTCTGCTTGCCTCAAGTGTTTGTCAGTGGGCTGCAGGTTATGAGGAAATTTAATTTAATCTGCCATTTCCTTCTGCCTTTGTTTCCCACATCACTACCTACTCCTTTTTAACTTGGGTCAGGATTTGTGGACCTTCAGGGTAACAATTTTGGGTAGCACCTAATCTGAAATTCTTCTTACCTGACATCATGATCTATAGCCCAGTTTTACTCTGGGTTAGGAGTGGCTTCTAGGGATTCTCTGAGCCTCCTGCTACCACCCCCACCCCCACCCTACTTCTGTCCCAACACTTAACATGTTGCCTATGTTCTCTTTGTTTGCTTATGGAGGGCAAGGACCATGTTCTACTTGCCTCTAGCTCTCATATTTAGTGTAAGACTTGGTGGGTCAGGGAATGTTGTTGAAATAATGGAATTATGTTCAGCAGTTTTATTGATAGTGTTGCACAATCAAGATGATTAAGGGCCACTGGCTAGAGATGGCAGTGAATATTACATTTATTACATTTTTCTGTCTATGTATTATTAAAAATGGTTCACACTACACTTCTTTCTAAACGCACACTACAATAGTTCTTAAAATTTGGTGATTTATAAATAAAATGTACATTAGAGTGATCTGAAAATCATAAAATTAGGCATGATAGAATCTCTCTAAGGGTGAGAGGGCATTGGGGAATGATGGCAGAGTAAAATTATATTATTTGAAAAACATTAAGAGGAACAAAGTTTCCTACAATTAACTTCTGTGTCATATTACTGAGAATATTTAGCCATAATTATAGAGGATATACATTTGAAAAACCAGATTACTGCAATTAAAAAACATAACAACATAACTTCTGGCTCCATTTTGAATACAATGTTCTGTTCAGTTCCCATTGTCAGTGCAGTATTGGTTAATGAAAAACAGAAGTGGCCTTTATGGGCACAGACTCTACTTTAAAATAATGAGGCTAATTCAGCAAAGAGATTTATTTAATTAGAGTTTCTGACATAATAAAGCTGTGGATATTTTGTGCTGCTTTGCTCTATTTTTAAATCTCTTCAGAGCGAAAATTGATATAAAGATGTTGCAAGTATGGACAAACTGAAGATATGAAAAAGTGTTATTGTTATTGTATGAAATTGTACAAGTGACAAACTGTGATGTCCACACAGTTTGTAGTAAATGATTTAAAAGCATTAGCAGAGGAAACACACCTCCACCATGTAGTTTATGAATTTCATTGAGACATGAGCCATCAGCATTGACTCATTGCCTGCTGGTGCTTAACAGTTCTTCATTGTGTGTCAAAACCAATGCATCCTCTTCCATTTTAAAAATTGTGGAAGTGATTATTAGTTTTTTTTTTTTTAATTTTTTTTTTTCAACGTTTATTTATTTTTGGGACAGAGAGAGACAGAGCATGAACGGGGGAGGGGCAGAGAGAGAGGGAGACACAGAATCGGAAACAGGCTCCAGGCTCTGAGCCATCAGCCCAGAGCCTGACGCGGGGCTCGAACTCACGGACCGCGAGATCGTGACCTGGCTGAAGTCGGACACTTAACTGACTGCGCCACCGAGGCGCCCCAATTAGTTTTTAATATCAAGGGATAGAGACAGAGGTAAGAAGTACATGAATGTGCTTATACTTTATAGTATTTGGATTTACATTGAAAATCAGTGCCTAACAGAGCAACAAATGTGTTTAAGTGACATTCACATTTTAAAGATTATTTCTTCTTTAGGGTAGCAGTTATTAAAAGGAGAAATAAAATTTTGACAGTATCTTTCAAATATGTGATGTCCAATAGGAAGGAATGTCATAATGTAGACCTTTTCTTCTCTCATGTATATTAGTTGCAGTAGAGATGAAAGTTAGCACCCAGTGCTCCAACATATATATCAAAAATTTAAAAGATTTTTTTTTGTTGTTTACTAGAGTCTAATGCTGGTGCTTTTAGTGTAGATATTTTCTCCACTGATTCACGCATACACATACACACACCCACACACACACACACACATGTGCATGCTCTATAACATGTAAGTACATTATTATGTATGCAGACCAGTTTTATTTTGTGTCTATATGCTGGGACCTAAGAATCCTCTATAGTTTTCGGAAAGGTAAGGAAAGCATGGAGAAGGTATATAAACACTTCTTGAAATTACTGTTGAACAAATGACAAACATCACTTTTACTTGTATTTTATTCTCGTATCTCAGGTGAGAATTAGTGATATCACCATACTCTCACTGAAAGGTTGAGAAATGTAGCCTTTGGGTCAAGAGTGGCTTTTTGCACTCAACTCTATACCATGGAGAGGGGAGAGGAATGTTGATAGAAAGCCTAAGCCAGTGCATATGTAATGGAAAAACTCTTAAAAGTCCAATCTCTCAAAGAGTTAGCATTTAGTCCTCCCTCTAACACCCTAAGAATAGGCTGTGTAGCCTGGTATGAATACATCTAGTGTTTTGAAAGGAATCAGCTTTTGAAAAATCTCCCTAATATATTGTCAAGACTGTACTATGTGTCAGTATCCTGGTCTCCTTGGTTTCAGACATGCACTAAATTTTATATGTCGTTGAGATGTGAGCCTATATACCATACCTAGTACTCAGTTCTCAGTATTTGTTATGATTAGGAGAGTTTTATCATTTCCACCCTGGTTGCGGGTATTATACTTCTGTTAATAGAAGCTTGTATTTGTTGTCTTGGAAAGCTATCAATCTGTGTTCATCTCAAGTTTGTGAGTCACAGGGTCCTTTCATATGAATTATGCCCCACCTATTGACCCTATTACTTTCCTGTGCTTAACAAATGCTTTATTCTTCTGGTTAACATATTCAACCCTGGACTTCTGCCTCAGCTGCCAAAGCTTATCAGACATTTTTAGCAGCTATTTTCTTACCTTTTGGAGAAGCCATAAATAAGCATGCTGTGAAAAGTGGCTGAGGCTACAGGTCATTAACTTTCTATATTTAACTGTTGCTGTAACTTCCATTGTTTGATCTGGTTCTTCCAGTTTTCATAATGATGCTTCAAACATGGATTTTATCTATAAACTTAGTTTAATCTGAATAACTGAATCATATAAATTTTGTTTTTATTTTTTATAATTAAAAAAGTGAAATTTATTTTATTTTTCATGATTTTATAGTTGGTTCATGATTGTTACTATATGAATACCTATGGCAAGTAATACACTATTACTATATGAATACCTATGGCAAGGAAAGGAAGTAGAAGTTACCTAAAATATCAACACCTAGCAATAAGTACTTTCAGTGTTTTGGTGAGCAATCTTTTGTAAATTCTCTCTGTATAAACACACATACCTATAACATGCTCATACTGATGTAGTTAGGACAATATTGTATACATCGTTTTTTCAATGATTTTTTTCTCATTCATGTTATTTTTGCTATTGTTGATGACGAGGATGCTTTCTCTTCCAGCTACTTTCCTACTACAAATAATGCTACAATAAATATTCCTGTACAGCTATTCTTTCCTCCTAGTACTTTATTGTCAGTGGGATTGAAGCTGCATTTGGAAATACGGTCTGATTGCCAGGTTCACTTTCACTTCTTCTTTGTTCTGGAGGTGATCTAGAAATGTGCAAAATAATCCTATATTCTTTTTTCAAGATAAATTCACTTTATAAAGAAGAGTTTGGGCACTAGCTTTTTACTAGAATTTATACATTATTCTTCTTTGTATTTATCCAATTTAGTGCTTAGTAAATTGGTGGAGAAGATGACTTCATTGGAAATCTCACTTCACACTGCAATTTATATAGTAGAGTTTTGTAGAAATGTTTTTTTAAGGATTATGAAACCTACTCCACATGACCTAGCCTTGTCTAAGAAAAGGCTTTTCTTCAAGGTCTTATTTAAATTTAAATGCTCTATGACACTTCAGGACCTATCAAAGCAACATCTTGGACCAAAGGAAATGCTATTTGTTTGATAGCTAGCTTTTAGTAAATCCATATTAAGTATTAATTTCTCTTTGAAAATGCTCTCAAGCTTCTGATTCACAATTTACTTTATCATTTTCCAGAGATTGCTGTTTACTTGATTTTAGTTGTTTTTGTGGCACAACATTTTCATCTATGAAATCTGTGTCCATATCTCTCTTTGGTCTTACATATCTTGTCACTGAGAATATAAGAGATGTGTTTTGGCAAGGACAGTGTTGTGAACTCATCAGCCGTAGTTTTGCTTTTATGGTACCATCAATTTGTTTATATTGAATGCCTTGCTTACTAAAGACGTTGGGACTATAATGGTGAGTAAAATAGACATACTGTTTCATCTTAGGGAAACTTGCAGTTTAATGAATAGATAATTACTAAAGAACTACATCTGCAAATAAATGCAAAGTTAAAACCAACATAAATGGCAGGAGAAATGTGGTGAGTGATGTTGCCGAAGAGATTAGTTGACTACATTGATCAAGTGGCCGCCTCAAGGAAGGTTTCCCTGAGACAGTTGAGCTGAGAGCTAGGATAAGGGAAGAGCTCATGTAAAAAAGGGTGTGATAGGAAGGATTGTGTCACAGTTGAGTAAGTTTAAGAATGCCATTTTAGAGTTTTGGTCTTTATCTTAACAAAAGTGTAGTGCCAATACATAGTGGAGTGATGTGATCTAAAATACATTTGGAAAGAATCTGTGTAGTAGTAATTTGGAGCAAAAATGTAGAAGGCAAAAAGTGGCTTAGGTTCCTAGTTAGTAGGCTTTTGCAAGAGTCCCAAAAAGTGGTAGTTTAGATTGAGATGATTGTGGTAGTAGAGATGAGAGGTAATCCATTCTACAGATATGTGGTGGAAAGAATTGGAAGTTTTGATTACTTGTGTATTAAGTATTTGAAAATATGGGAGAGGAAAGTATCTAAGATGATGCTTAAGCTGTTGGGTAACCAAGCACAATGGAATTTAGTGCCATTTGCTGAGAGGTGAAAAATGGAAAGGACCAGTTTTTTGTTTTTTGTTTTTTTTTATGTTCATTAACTTTTTGAGAGCGAGATAGGGTGTGAACAGGGGAGAGGTAGAGAGAGAGGGAGCACAGAATCTGAACCAGGCTCCAGGCTCCGAGGTGTCAGTACAGAGCCTGATGCTGGGCTCAAACCCATGAACCATGACGTCATGACCCAAGCCGAAGTCTGACGCTTAACCGACTGAGCCATCCAGGCTCCCCAGAGAGGACCAGTTTTTGAGAGAAAGGTCACAGGTTTGGTTTGGAGCAATTGAGTATATTGGTTATCCAGGTAGATATGACATTCTGGAATAACAGAGTACTTTAGTTTAATATGGTAGGTAGGTTCTTTGAATGGTATTTTAAAGTTTATAATTCTTTTTAAAACTAGAATTTTAGAGAGTTTATTGCTCTTTGTTATTTTTAACATATTACCAAAAGGATTTAAAAATATACTTAATATCTTATGGGACTCCTCTAATACTTCATAACTATAAAGAGTGAGTAGGCTTTGTTCTGTTTTGTATGGTTTCTTGTTTATTTGTTTATTTGCATTTTTTGGTCAGCATAATATAACTCTTCTCATCTTTTCATGAGCAGATTATATTGCTGTGAATGACTTTCATTTGAATCAGCTGTATACAAAAAAACTGTAGGCAATAGTATGGTATAGTTAAAAATTATAACTAGTTGGGGCACCTGGCTGGCTCAGTTGGTAGAGCATGTGATTCTTGGACACAGGGTTGTTGAGTTCTACCACATGTTGGGCTTGAAGCCTACTTAAAACATTATAATCTGTGGGACATTAGAAGTGTATGGTGTTTTCTGAAGAGCGTAGACAATTTTTAACATCAGGGATTATATGATTTTTAGGGGATATTTAAAGATAGTTGCTCTTTGTCCTGCGTAAGGTTTTATTCCAACCTCAGCCACAAACTTTTTTGGTAGTATAATATTTTATACAAATCCAAATCTGAAATATAACTGTGTTCTATAAGTTTATTCTGATTACTGATACTGTTGACTTTATATTGTCGAAATATTAATAGTGTTAAATATAACAAAATCTTAGGGTTTATGGCAGACCCTTAAGTGACTTTTCAATGGAGATTTGACTAGTAAAGGGTTTGAGGTTTTTCTACCTTGCCATAATCACTCTTTAAATAAGAGGACATTATGTTTTCTTTCATATTAACATGCAAATGAAAGCGAAATTAGAAATGCTTTATAAGAAATACGCCATTTTTTGATTTCTGGAATAGAAGTGAATATTATCAAAATGAAAACTGAAACAGTAAAAAGTTTTTCTAATTTTAATTTTGATATTTTATTGTCTTGTAGTGAAGCATTATTTAAATATCTCCAACTTCAATTGAAAATTTAAAATGAGTGCATTTTTCATGTTTGTAAAAATTAATATCTCATCATTTTTTTATAGGTCTCATATCTTTTGGGTGAACAGAAGTCTACCTTTATGGGGCTTACAGGTTATGTACAATTTTGTTTTATCCCTATATTTCTGGATTTAATCATATTTCACAGAGAAATACTATTGGAGAGAAAACTGTTGATAAGAGAAATGAATTTGCTTTATTGCTTACTTAATCTTGATGCACATCTTAGACAAACAATTTTATTTCTATCTTTGTTTGCCTGAGCCCTGCATTCTACCTTTTGAGAATTCCCTTCTGATCAGGATTTGACTTTAGAAAAAGGTTTGGAGGGCATGGAGAAAACCAGAGTAAAGGAGTGTGTTAAGGCACCACAAGTTCCCCAAACTACTTTAGGTATTCACCTTATATAATCCTTGAAAAAGTAATCAGAATCTCATAACCATGTTTGCTCTTCTACTTTATATCCGTAGTGTCTGGAACATGGCAGAATCTCAATAAATAATTATTAAATGAATAAACAAATGAATGAATGGCTCATATTACCAATAGCAAGAGCTTGGTCCCTAAACAGATAATTTTGTAAATAAAACAAAAAGTATATTTCTGGCATAAAAGGGGTCCTGAAGAAAGAGTCAGAAAATATGAGAGGGAACAGCGTGTCTGAATTATGTTGCTGCATTGTTCCCTAGAGTCCTCTGTATCTCTGCTTTGTTCCTTGTTCTATTGAATTTTATGCCCAGCAAACTTTGTAAGTTCCCATCTCCTCTACTCCTGTCTCTCTCCTACACATGCTTTTTATTTTCTGTTATTTTTCAACTGTGAAAGTTATCCAAAGGATAGATAAAATGGTAAAAAATTACAGATTGGAAGACAGTTGAGTCTGGAAGTAATGGAAAGACTCTAAAACTCACTGTTTATAAACAACCTTTAAAATATGTTAAAATCAAATGTTCGCTTTGTCTTTTAGTCATGAGGATTGTAAAGTCTGTACATTTTAAAGTTTAAAGTTTATGATGAATTATTTTAATTATGTATGCATTGTGATCATAACTATGAAATCACATTTTTACTGTGTCTAGATATTTCATACTTTTTTGAAGTCAAGTTGCATTTCCTGGTTTTTTTTACACTGATTTGCATTGCAATGTCATTAATTACAAATACCCTTTCAAATATTTAAGTGTTTACTAAAAATGCAGTCTATTAATCACTAGCTTGATTCCTATATTATCCTTCAGTGAGAAGCACATTTAAAGTAAGTGAATATTTTTGAGAGTAGTCGTATATGGCCTTGAAATACATTTTGATCTATTCAGATTGCTTTTATCTAATAGTGATATTTTACAATAATGATAATGCTCATTTTCAAATAGGATTTTGAGTAGTCATGCCACAAATGTTGTAGGGATCTTCTAACACTACATATAGGAAAAAGCACAGATGATGACGATTTAAAGGACTAGTAGGGAAAATCTATGAGATGTGCATGTAACGTCAGAGCAGTGCCTGGCTACCATATGTACTTCTGAACATAATTTACTTATATTGCCATTCATTCACATGCTTTTTTGTTGTTCTTTTGTTTTGATACTCATTTAAATCAAAGTTTTCATTCCAACAGGAGTTAAAATTTAAAACTCCAGGGTATCTGCCTTTCTTATGTAGATTGTCTGAAATCTCAAAAGTGTATAAACAAACATATTTGTTCTCTGAGTCATTTCTTGTTTATACTTGCGTATTTTCTTCTATTCATGTAGCCCAAAGTGCTGAGAGTATTTAATACAAAATCATTTGGATATCTTTTACAGTTACTTTTCCTGTTGTGCAATCATAGCTTTTTGGTAGTTCAGCTGTGGAAACCGTACACAGATCAGCGAATGTAGATAAAGATGGAAACTTGTCTAGGAGGGTGTAGGATATGTTCTTCCAGCTGTGAAAGGGGAATTGGTTAGAAAGTTCATTTAAATAAAATCTGAAAGTACCTTGAAGTGTTCACATGGGACTATTTTGTTTAGTGTTCAAGGATGCTGCTCTTTCATTTGGTGGGTGATAGGATAGAATGTGTCACTCAACTCAAAGCTTATATTCTTTTTATTTTCTGAAAGGAAGATTTTTGGTAGATGTCCTAGAGGTGGTATAAGTCTTGGTGGGAGAGGGTGGTGGTTGTGGCGGGGCAGTTGTGTGTGATTGTGCATATTAAGAACATACACAAAAGAACTATTCTTTACAGATCATGCAAGCTCCAGCTAGCCTGACTCTTCTAATTCCACATTTATATTTGAGATAAACAATAAGTATTTATTCAGGAGTATTAGAAACTATAACACTAAGCTTGTAGTGCTGGGAATAGTTTGCAACCTCTCACGTGTCTATGGAAGGTAAAGTGCCACATAATACCTCCTTACATCTATATCTGGATATTCTACAAATATGTGTATACAGATACATATGCATATATGCAAATATTTGTAAGGTAAGTACTACAATCATAAATATATATATTTAATTCTATTGCATTTTCTCATTAAAGTACTTTTTTTTTTCCAGGTTTCAGTGGCATTGATAAGTCTATTTGAAACAATACTACTTGGTTATCTCAGTTATAAGGTAAGTTATTTTAATTAGAAGTTTTCTTTTGATAGAACACATTACTAGCATTTACCCAGTATTCCTTTATTTATAATTTGTACCCTGGGGATAAAGCAAGTTCTCCTTAAGCCTCTTTAATTATTTTGGGCCTCTGTAGTATGTGATAAGAATCTGTAGTTATATAGTAATGTTTTCCTTGGTGGCTTGAAAATATTTCACTAATTCCTGTGGGCTAATTACCTATTATATACATGCTCATATGAGGCAAGCAAATGGAATGGGTTGGCTTTTAATTGTTCCTAATCTCTTTTCCTCATCTGTATAAAAAATATTGAGGGAGCAAAAACATGTCTGTTAGGAATTATTTTAATGATTTCTCTTCATTTTTGGTGAAGGTTTGTTTGGCTGAAACAATTTAACAAATACTTATTTGGTGAAGAGCTCTATACTGTGCATTGTTCTTCTCTCATTGAGTTTCCATCTAGAAAGGGGGATATATAGGAGAAAATTATACAGACAATAATAATACAAAACAGAATACGAGGTACTTTCAGTGAGGTGCAAATAAAGTCCTATGGGGATAGAGAGATGGCATATCATAGGATGAAAAGAAAATACTTGACTGATTTAGGCAGAGTCCTTGAATCAGTGATTTCAATAAGGAAAGATGAAAAGGCAAGACACTAAAGATTTATAGAATTAGCAAAGGCATAAAAGAAGTAATGTGCATATAAAATTGGAAGAAGAATAAATAAGTTTGGGCAGAATTTTGGGACATTTGGGAAAATATTGGTTGGGAAAATTTGGTACAATATTGTGAGGGCCTTGTATAGCACCATATAATGGGAATTTGATGGAGGATGTTGAGCATGAGAGTTCTGTAATTGTAATTAAGTTTTAGGAGTATTAGTTCGGAACATCTGTGCAGCACAGTTCAGAGGGACATCGCACTAAGGCCATGTGCTCAATTAAGACACAATTGCAGAAAGGAAGACTGGGAGTGAGGTTTTAGCTGGGTGAAAGAAATAGACAGAGGTGACATAAGATGAAATATAAAGGTAGAAACTAAAGAAACCATCATCTGTTTGATTGAAAAAGTGGAGGAAAAGATAAAGTCACATATCGCTTTAACATATTTTAAACTCAAATGGCTGGGAACATGGCAGTAAAACTAAGAAAAATTACATCAAGAAAAAAAATCAGATTGGGGTCAAGATAGATGGAATAATGACAGTCGTTTTGGAAATGATGAATTTGAGGTGATCATGGACAAATAGGTAGTCATTCTCAACTAAAAATGAGAATCTGGAACAGGGAGATTTAAGATGTGGAAGTCATTTTCACAGAGATAGTGGAGGAAGCATGAGAGTTTATTAAGTATGGAATAATAATGAGGGAGAAGCTAAGGCTCATTTGATGGAGATGCTTACATTGTGGTTGCTGGAAGAAGAACAGAGTAATCAGGGAAGACGGAGACATAGACAAGAAAGGCAGAAAGACTTCAGAATGGCTGTCATACTCATCACTAACCTTCAGTTCACATTTTCTGCATGTACTGTATCATCAAGTGTACTACTAAAGGTTATGTTTTGGGGGAACTCTTATATCAACTGCTTTCACACTTTTTAAGACATAGGATTTTAAAGATAACATTTGTTAGACTACTTTTAATCCTAAATTAAGAGCAAGATACCTTTACAAACTCACCTTTTCCTGTGGCTTTATTAAAAAATATTATCCTTAACTCCGTCTGAAGAAAATAATGCTGATATCTGATGAGGTGAGATTGGTGAATTAGAAAGTATAGAAAAAAAAAAAGAATGTGGGCTTTCCAAAAAATATAGATGGGTTGATTTAGTATTTGTGAGAAAAAATTGGGTGTTAGAAATTCTAAGGAAGAAAAGTGTTCTCTGAAAGCATTGGAATTACAAGTTTAGTAAGAAATTTGAGAAAAGGTCATTGGATTTACAGTTTAGAAAATCATTTGCTATTCACCTGTAGGAAAAAATTTCAGGGTTGTACAATTGAGAGTAAAAAGCACTAAATGAAGAATGTTGTTTGGGGTAGGAGCTTCCTAGAAGTGGTCAAATGAGGCAGAGAAGATTGCCAGTGACGGAAAAAATCTGTATCATTTAGAGAAAGTAGGTAGAGGGGACCAGAAAAAAATGATAGACAAAGCAAGTTTTATGCAAAGTAAGAATAAGCTGGATTAGGAACCTGAGGTCTACTGATTCACTTTGGATACATTCCATTCTTTTCTGAGAGCACAGAAGATGGAAAATGATGCACGAAAGAATATTTTGAAGCTAGAGAAGGGAACCTGAGAGACCTTACATGTAGGTAGTCGCTCATCCTTAAATAACCTAATTACTCACTCAATGATGAATTGTTTAGACTAAGATGTTGAGGAAGATCTTTTAATGGCTTATAAATATATCTTTTTGTCAAAATAGGTGCTCTAGAAACATATACTGATTGAAAAATCTGGATTTTGTATACCTAGAAGAGCAAAATACAAATCAAGTGAATTAATATCCAAGATTGTATCTCCGAAGTTACTTATTATTCAAGTACGTGATGAAAGTCGAATGTAATATACAAAAAATGACATGCTGAAAAATTAGGCACATGGGTGTTTTTGGTAAATGTATTAAACCTCTTCCACTGGTTCTAGAGTGTGTACAGATATATAACTGGCTAAAATATTAATCTACATTTGTGAATGTATTTTCTCTAAATTCTAGCCAAAAGGTAATATGAAATTAACTTTGGTGCTTAATGAAACTCTTAGCCCTAATCTAAAAAGTCATTTAAAAAACACAAACAGATTCAAGATAATTTTCCATTATAATCATATGATGTTGACATTTGTAATTAATTAATTCCTGCCACTTATAAAATGAGAGCAAAGCATTATGAGACCTAGTGGCATTATAAGAACTAGATGATATATAATATTTCCCTTCTGACCTTCATAAACACTAATGGCTTAGATGGTGGAGAGGTAGATGGTAGTTGAGTTTTGTGTGTTTCAAAGAAGCAAAGGATAAAAAGGAGTTACGTGATATTGGAAGGACAGGTTTCTATTAACTACCTCCTTTTTCCTCTCATAAATTCAGTCAAACTCATGGACTCTTTTTACCCCACCAATAGGCTGTTGGATAAAATATGTGAAATGAGTAAATTAACTGTTTGGTAACTATAATTGGTAACTGTTTATGGCCTATAACTAAGGCAAATTTGGATAGCAGAATCTCAATTGAGTTCCTCCTCTCAAATTAGATTTTTAATAAAAATTATAGACAGGTGGGCAGAAATAGATGTTGCCTTAGAAGTGTACATATTCCCAATATTGTTCTGGGATACGTTACATTCTCAAATATCTATTAATGGCAAATCAATATTTATTTTTCTAAAATTTCTTTACTTCTATATATGCAGATAATGTGAATATTTGTAGATAATATACATGTGCACACATAGTATTTAAAAATAAACTTAATATAGTGTTCTGTAAGCACTTTATAATTCCTGAAATTAAGCATTCTAAAATAAAGACGACTTAATCCTTAACAATTAAAATAGTTTAAAGTATTATGGCGACTGCAGTTTTTTATTTTTTTTTGTGTGTGTTTTCTTTAACATTTATTTATTTTTGAGACAGAGAGAGACAGAGCATGAACGGGGGAGGGTCAGAGAGAGGGAGACACAGAATCTGAAACAGGCTTCAGGCTCTGAGCTGTCAGCACAGAGCCCGATGCGGGGCTCGAATTCACAGACCGCGAGATCATGACCTGAGCCGAAGTGGGCCGCTTAACCGACTGAGCCACCCAGGTGCCCCAAGACTGCAGTTTTTCAAAAACAAAGTGTATGTTGAGGTTAGTGGATAATTTTAAAAGTCCCTGACATCACCTTATTTTGTCCTCTATCCTACAGAAGTGCAGGTCTGTGCTTAAACATCATTCCATTCATGTTTATAGCTACTTGGCAGAACAGCCCCAGGATCTCCCAGCAGTAAAGTTCTTATTCTTCTGTTACCATAAATACCCTCTATGTCTTTATCAACTGCCTTCAAAATAGAACTCTATTTATACATACACATTCATTAAATCATAAGGAAACGAAAACAAACTCCAGCATAATTTCCAAAATTCTGCAAACAAAAATCCAACATACCTAGAAGGCTTATATTAAATCTGCAGTTCTTTTTTCTATAATCACTTGATGAAGAACAATGGTTTGAGATTGTCACACCATGATGAGCTCCCTTTTGGTCAGGAACAAAGGGTTGGACAAAGGAAAGGACTTTTAGATGCTGATGATTCTGCTTACAATACCATGGAAATGGTAAATCTAAATATTCAGTTAACATTTAGAAATACAAAATAAGGCTACCATAGGATTACTACACTATTTTAATTTCATCAAAGGAAGATAAGTTAACAGCCTTTTTAGTTATGTATTTTAAATATAGGTATTGTTAATATTGAAGAAGAATGTGTTTTTAAAAAGTCTCTTGGTATATGCTGGGCTAATGATTTAATTACCATACATCTTATAATTTTTTAAGTGCTTTTTGGAGGTACTTAGAAATAGTTACAAACTTCCATTTTCCTTTATGATAAAAATAAAAACCTGATTAATTTAAGAAAATTACCTATTTTCCTCCATTTTCACTAAGGAAAATGATGTCCATACCAAATAATGTAGAATGGTTGGATTAATGTTTATTTATATTTTACTGAATACTTTCAATAAAAGGAACACAGTTTTACACACTTAGCACAGATAAAGAAAGCTACCTAAGAAATTTTTTTTTGGAGGGTGCCTGGGTGGCTCAGTTGGTTAAGTGGCAGACTTTGGCGTAGGTCATGATTTCACGGTTTGTGGGTTCAAGCCCTGCATTGGGCCCTGTGCTGACAGCTCAGAGCTTGGAGCCTACTTTGGATTCTGTCTCTCCCTTTCTCTCTGTCTCTCTCTTGCTCACAGTCTCTATCTCTCAAAAAATGAATAAAAAT